AAAAGTATGGATGAGAGAATACCATAAGGCCTCTTGGAATAATGAAACGGTGGGTAGAACCACAAAGATCCTATGGGGTGACTCTGATGAGAACAAGACGATAAATCTCCTCAGAATGAGCAAGGCTGAAGTTAGTACGACGTATTCTGAGTGGAAACACAGGATTACGAGCACATCTATACAAAATCGGCCGTGCGGATCCAGATGAATGTGGAGCATGTGGAGAGGACAGTGAAACTCTGGAGCACATTCTTTGCCACTGTCACGTATTCGTCGAAGTTAGATCCAAGTATCTTGGAAGCGATGTTATTCCGGAAATAACATTCCTGGCTAACACTGATTGGAAAATTCTTAGGAATTACGTCCAGGAAACTGAGTTTCTGAACACTGAAAAAGGTATTTCTTCGGATTTGATGTACTGTACATCCTCCTATCAACCTAACCTAACCTATCCTTACGTAAGTCAAATTTTTATTTTTTTGTCAAAAAAAAAAATCAGTTAAAAAAAATGTAGAAGTTATTACAAATTACTCAGATCATTTATTGTCAAAAACATAAATATTTCAAGATATTTAACACATTTTGGGAAATATCCTAAAAAAATATTAATTACATTAAATGTATTTCTATTAATTCAAATATGAGTCGTTATCTTCATTATATAGAGTAATAAAGAAATTAGGTCGATATCTCTCTCAGGTTAGCGGTACCTTCGATTTGAATTTTGAGAATTTTGAAGAAAACTATACATATTTTGCTAATATTTTTGAAGATTAGCCTTAAATAATTTTTGTATTTTGTATAAATTTTTTTTAAAATATAAATTCAAGAGTCAGAAAAACCGAATAATGTTAACCAATAAACTATGAAGGTCAAACTAAATTATAGTGAAATATTATTTTATTTTCAACCGATTTATATGTAACTTAGGAAAAATATATAACGATGAGCCGTATTTATGATGATATCGAAAAAATGTAAAATGTCCTTATTAAATGAACTAAATACATATTCAATGCCATTTTGGGAGAAAATTGTGGGTGATAGAGAAAAATACATACATATGGGGAATTTCATGTCAAGTGTCTTTTAAAATCGATGTCTTCCGATTTGGATGAAATTTGCACCAAGTATAGTACTATGGGATAGTAGGCCAGCAACTAAAAATACATTAAAATCAGTCGGTTGCTTTCAATAGTTTTTACAAACCTTCAGGTTGGTCTGTGTTATTAAACGGCGTGGATTTGAAGAAAGATTTCAAATGAAATCTACAAGATTGCTTTGTAAAAATAATTCAACTACTGTTTTATTTTTAAGTTCGTCATTCCGTTTGTAATTTCCACAATATAATTTTCCGACCCTATAAAGTATATATATTCTGGATCCTTATAGATAGCGGAATCGATTAAGCCATGTCCGTCTGTCTGTTGAAATAAATTTTCTGAAGACCCCAGATATCTTTGGTATCCAAATCTTCAATAATTCTGTCAGGCATGCTTTCGAGAAGTTTCCTATTGAAAATCAGCAAAAACGGTCCATTAAAAACTGAAGAATGTGCAAAAATCTGAGACTACCTCTGAAAATTTCCTCAATAAATTATAAATAAAAGCATAAAAACAACAACGAGATAAAGCAGTAATATGTTAGTAATGCAGTTTATATTTGTTTGAGAGTGGCAATACAGCGTATAGGTACAACAGTTACTATTTCTTTCTGCGCTAATACAGTTTATATTTGTTTGTGTGTATGTTATGTGTGAAATGTAATCAAAGATACAATTCGATCCAAAATGCGACTTGTACTACAAATGATGTATTTGTTATTGTTGTTTTTACTTTGATGCAGATATAAAATGTAAAATTATAATAAAATACAAAAATTAAATTAATTGCAATTCTATGAAATTAAATTAAATTCTAAAAATAGAGGGTTTTTAAAACATACTTGGTGAAGGGTATATAATATAGAAATCTGACTTGTTATACCCTTCACCTTCGTGAGAAGGTGAATATAATTTTCCGACCCCATAAAGTATATATATTCTGGATGGAGCGGAGTTTATTAAGCTATGTCCGTCTGTCTGTCTGTCCGTCTGTGTGTTTGTTGAAATCAGTTTTCGGAGGACGCCGGATATCGGCGAGATCCAAATCTTCAATAATTCTGTTAGACATGTTTTTGATAAGATCACTATTTAAAATCAGCAAAATCGGTCCATAAATACCGGAGATATGAACAAAAATCCGAGACAACCTCTGAAAATTTCATAAAAAATACATTTTTTTTCGTTTAGCGTTGCCACAGTGGTATAGGAAAAAAAAAGAGGGAAATAATTCGGTAACTTCTAAACGGTTAATCCGATTTTAATGAAATTTGGTATGCACAAAGAGGAGGTGTTGTCGAGTTTAGGTTTTGAATTTGGACCTTATAGGCCAACCAGGGGCCCGGCGGGGGGTCCTCAAATTAGGACACCTCGGCTATGTTAAATTTTTAAAACGATCCTATTTCTTCATTTGAGTTTCGATTTAAAAAAAATTTCGTATATAGAATCTCCTCATCGAGCACTAAAATGTCGTCGTAGCAGTAAATTATCTCTTATAGTTTAGGAGATATTCGCATTTGAATATTAAAATTTTAAAATTTTTACCGTCCTTACTTTAGTTTTTTTGATAATAGCAGGTCCAAATATTTCCGATTTTCGCCATTTTTTTTTATTTGCTTAACAACAAGTTTATATACCAAGCAGTGAAAGAATTATGTAAAAATCATGACTGAGTCCAAAGTTATAGGCATTTAAATTTAAAAAATTAAAAAAAGGCGATTTTTGTCATTTTTTTTGGGAAAAAAGTATCTTTTTCTTTTTAAGTTATCTAAAAAGTTTCTAAGAAGATGTATATAGAATTTATACTTTTTGGAAAGCTGACTTTACATAAAATACGATAAATGAAACAAAACCTAAAAATTTTTGATACCGAGGGGACCAGGTCCATCCAAAAAAAACCCTATTTTTTATGGAAAATTAAATTTTGAGCAAAAATTCTCAAATCGCATAGTCGATATCAAATTATAGTGACCTGTTTTATATGACCCAATAAGTTCTTAATCATTTTGTAACGGGTTTCGATAACCCCGCCCCTGGTATGGATATAATAGGCAAAAAACCAAAAAATCCCATTTTTGGGATTTTTTAAAACTTTTTTGGGAATTCCGGGATTTCTAATAAGAAAATTCGAAATTTTTATTTAATTTTGGATTTTGAGTAAAAAAATCTACCTAACTGTAAAATTTCATCAAAAAATATTCATAAATAAAATTTTTATTGCAATTTGAAAAATTTGTATCTTCGCAAAAACTGAATAAAAAACATTTTTTAATTTTTTTTAAAAAAAGTATTCCGCGAATTTTTTAATTTTCAAAAATTATATACAGTTTTGAAAAATAGACAAAATTACCTTTCCATTGATATATAACATGCCTACCTAATGTTTTTTAAGTGACAAATTAATTAGGGAAAACTCAACATCTTTTAGAAAATTTACCTAGCACTATTATTTTCATCCATATATGTAACAAATTTAAGAGTTAACCTTATGGATGAAAATAATAGTGCTAGGCAAATTTTCTAAAAGATGTTGAGTTTTCCCTAATTAATTTGTCACTTAAAAAACATTAGGTAGGCATGTTATATATCAATGGAAAGGTAATTTTGTCTATTTTTCAAAACTGTATATAATTTTTGAAAATTAAAAAATTCGCGGAATACTTTTGTTAAAAAAAATTAAAAAATGTTTTTTATTCAGTTTTTGCGAAGATACAAATTTTTCTAATTGCAATAAAAATTTTATTTATGAATATTTTTTGATGAAATTTTACAGTTAGGTAGATTTTTTTACTTAAAATCCAAAATTAAATCAAAATTTCGAATTTTCTTATTAGAAATCCCGGAATTCCCAAAAAAGTTTTAAAAAATCCCAAAAATGGGATTTTTTGGTTTTTTGCCTATTATATCCATACCAGGGGCGGGGTTATCGAAACCCGTTACAAAATGATTAAGAACTTATTGGGTCATATAAAACAGGTCACTATAATTTGATATCGACTATGCGATTTGAGAATTTTTGCTCAAAATTTAATTTTCCATAAAAAATAGGGTTTTTTTGGATGGACCTGGTCCCCTCGGTATCAAAAATTTTTAGGTTTTGTTTCATTTATCGTATTTTATGTAAAGTCAGCTTTCCAAAAAGTATAAATTCTATATACATCTTCTTAGAAACTTTTTAGATAACTTAAAAAGAAAAAGATACTTTTTTCCCAAAAAAATGACAAAAAATCGCCTTTTTTTAATTTTTTAAATTTAAATGCCTATAACTTTGGACTCAGTCATGATTTTTACATAATTCTTTCACTGCTTGGTATATAAACTTGTTGTTAAGCAAATAAAAAAAAATGGCGAAAATCGGAAATATTTGGACCTGCTATTATCAAAAAAACTAAAGTAAGGACGGTAAAAATTTTAAAATTTTAATATTCAAATGCGAATATCTCCTAAACTATAAGAGATAATTTACTGCTACGACGACATTTTTTATAGTGCTCGATGAGGAGATTCTATATACGAAATTTTTTTTAAATCGGAACTCAAATGAAGAAATAGGATCGTTTTAAAAATTTAACATAGCCGAGGTGTCCTAATTTGAGGACCCCCCGCCGGGCCCCTGGTTGGCCTATAAGGTCCAAATTCAAAACCTAAACTCGACAACACCTCCTCTTTGTGCATACCAAATTTCATTAAAATCGGATTAACCGTTTAGAAGTTACCGAATTATTTCCCTCTTTTTTTTTTCCTATACCACTGTGCGTTGTTGTTGTTCGTTTTGCTATTGCTATAATAATGATATATACGGGAAAATTTTAAATACACTGTGGTAAGGCACTCTTACTTGTTATTAAATAATATTGTTTTATTAGATAATAATGGCATTGACAAAATATTGCATACTCACCGTTTCAGTTGTTTTCTCCAATCGCACACCATCTAACCACCATGTTATAACTGCTGGCGGACGAGAACCCGAGCTCTGGCACAGAAGATCATAACGACGTCCAGCAGAAAGGGGTTGGTGTGCTCCTAGCAATCTGATATCTAATGGTGAAACTGAAACAATAAAATTTTTGTCGTACTTTAAAAAATAGTTTTGATATACAGGGTGCTCAATACAGTTTTGAAAATTAAACAAGTTAGATTGCTATATTCGTCTTGGCCGAATCTTAAATACCCCCCACCTATAAGCTACTTTTTATGAAAACCCATGTAAGTAGTTTTAGATATTCCGTGATGAGGGTGTTATCATTTAGAAATCATTTATATGCTGCTTTATGCATCTATGCCACTAACTTTGATCAAGTCTATAATCTTTATGAAAGATATGACCAATTTCGCAGAATGATTTATCGATACACAAAATATTCTATGTGGATTTTATCCAAATATGTATATGTATACATATGTATACGCGGGATGAAGTGACTTAAGAAAGTGGATCTTATATTAGAGCTTTGAGCAATTATGGACTGATCCAAACATTTTTCAATATGATTTATATATAAAAAAATATATTATATATATTTTTGTCTATGAAATATGTGAGTTTAAGCAATTTTCGGAAGTGGTATATCGGAGACTAGAAAAATTATGGGTCTATCCAGAAAGGGAGTGATTTGTATATATAAAAAACTTATTTATTTGAAATTTTAGTCCGATATCTTTATTTATCAATTAGATATGCGATTATCGGAAGTGCATCTTATATGGAATCTATGACCAATTGTGGACCGATTTGGGAAATATTTCTCAGGGTGGTTTATATCTACTTTAAACATATTCATATCTTCATTCAGTAATGAAAAATGTATGTTAACGTGGTTATCGGATGTGGTCCTTATATGATAGCTATGACCAATTATGGACCGATCCGGAAAAAAATTAGTGGAGTCGTATACGCATACATAAAACACTATTTATGTCGAATATCATTCCAATATCTCTATTTCTTAATTAGTTATGTGCATTTGAGTGAATTTCGGTAGTGGAGCTGACCTTAGAGTGCTCCAAAAAAACGAAGTTGCGAATTTTGCCCGTCCTCCCCTCTAGAATTGTTCTTTGGGTTGTAAAACTATGTCATACAAAAAATTAGGCTGATAGGATAATGTTAACAGGTGCCGCAACGGCTCTGAAGTTTTCAAGTGCATTTACTAGGGGAAAATATCGATTTTTTTAAGTTTTTGCTCAAATTTGGCCATTTTAAATAAAATATTATCAGAGAATTATAGCCTAGATAATATAAAATATATATATCCGCAGTTTTATTAAAATCGGACATTCTTAACCCATAAACTGTGGAGTTAAAAAGTCAAACTTTGCAATATTTGGGAATGTTTAGTGTACCATATCGAAATAATATTTATTTGTCGGCTATCTTTACCAAAAATGACTGGAATTTATCGTATTCCAGAAAAATCTTTACTTACCCGGTATGTAGGCAAGTAATATTGGAGCAAAGTGTAAGTACTTTGTTTTTGGGTGAATAACTACTTATTTTTGTTTGACGATGACCAAAAAATAACTGGTTACAAATGAGCTTATCCGACTTTTCCGGATTTAAAACCGGCTTTACAGTTATTTTCTGTGTTTATTAGTCTATTCTATTACCAAATGGTCCATTAATAAGTTGCTTTATAGTGCTATTTGGAATAGTTTTTACACAAAGGTACAAATCAATATTTCTTCAAAAATCATCTAATATCGATTAGGTTTAAAATCATTAACTAATCCTAATATCCTAATATATATTATAAATCTCTTTGTAAGTCTGTTCGTTTGTTAGTTTGTTTGTTCGTCAATCACGCCTAAACGGCTGAACTGATTTTCTTCAAATTTGGAACATAGTTAGATCTATACTTGGAGAGTGTTATAGGCTATATATTTTTTGAGAACTTGGACTAGGAGGGGGCAAAAATGGTTTAAAATAGGTGAAAAACGGGCAAAATGAGTACTATTGATAGTAAATACTGATTTTGTCTATCCTTAAGCAAAATCATTTTCGATTAAACTACTTAATTTGTTAGAAATATAAATTAATAAAGTGCCGTTGCGAAAATTGGACCGGAAGGGGACAAAAAAAATAGGCCAAATGGCGAAAATCTGACAAAATTAGTACTTTTGTGCTTTAAGAACGATTTTTTCTATTCCAAAGCCAAAATATTATAAACTATGATTTTGATAATCTCAGACATATGTTCATATATTTAGAACTCCCACCCTTAGGGGAAAAAGCCGGTAAAAAAGGGAAATCTGTTTTTGCTGCGTAAAGAGACTCAATAAATGCATATTTTCAGACAATTCAAACTACTGCAGTGAATAAATAAACCAAATAAATAAACAAGTAAAAATTTATAGTTGATCATGGCTGACGATATGATGCCCTACACCAGTGATTACGTTACAAATGTTCAGAAATATTTTTACAATTTATTGACATATTGGATTTTCTGAATGAGGGTTATATGGGGGTAGGTGGTTAATAGGGGCCTATCCCTATAAATTTTGGTAAAGGGATTAACGTCTACATTAAAGTTATTTATGTAGAATATCGCCGTACTATTAGTGTTTATAAGTGAATTTGAACCATCAAGTACTTTTATTAAGGGGACATTATATGGGGGATGTGATCAAATGAGGACCGATCATTGCGAAACTCAGCACTATCATTAAAACTTATAAAAAACTTAGTTTTGCAGATTTTTGGTGTGATACACGAACATTTAACATATTTATGAGCTCAAAAGCCATAAGTAATATTTCGTATTATACACGAAATTTTTGTAAATATTACGAAAATATAAGTTACGAAATTTTTTTTCGTAAAGTTGAGCATGGATTATTTCAGTGTGCTCAAGCAAAAACATTTCTGATTAAGCTTTCTGAAATATGTATTATGTAGCAAAGTTCCGTTTCGAAATAGGAGAAAAGGCGAAAAAACAGGAAAAATTTGTACTTCTATGTTTTAGTCTGATTTTTTTCGTTCTTAAGTAAAAATATTTTAGACGATGAGTTTTTAGTTTCAGAGATATGTGTATTCGAAAGTCCACCCCTAGAGGGAAAAACATAAAAAAGAAATTCAAACTCAATGTGCAAAAACGGCTTATTATGCGTTCCTTTGCTACATTTTTTGTAGTTTTATGAAATTTGAGAAATATTTATTTCTTTATTAATATTTTTCCGTAATCGGTCAAAATATGTGTTTTTGAAAATTATCATTAAAGAAGGAAAGGAGCTCCTCTGACGTGATTTTCTTAATAAATGTTCTACAACATCGATTTCTGAAATGATACAAAATATATTAAACAAAATACATAAATTTGAATAATTCAATGGAGAAAGAGGGTATGGGTAGTATTTTTGGTACTGTTTTGGTATCTTTTATAAATATTGTTCAAATTCAATAAAATTTCTTTTATAGCTTTATAAGATTACAAAAAAATTGCTAGGAGTTTCTTTATAAGGAGACCTTCAGCATTTTTTGAAACATGAATAAGTTAGGGAAAAATTAGCACTTTATACTTTAAGTCAAGAATTATTCTTTCTCTTAAGTTAAATATGTATATTCTAGTTTTACCTAACTAGATATTATTAGAATTATAATTTTGGAATCTTTTAGCTTTGTAAATTGGAAAAAAATTGTGAAGTAATCTCTTAGTGAGGAATAAAATGAGTAAACTTTTTTAATTTCGTAAATGCTATGTTATGTTATTTAAGTCAACGAAATTTTTATATTTTAAAATGTTGAAAAATTTCAGAAATTGTTCTATGGACATAAAGCACATTTTTAGTTTACTCTAACGGGAGAATACTTAAGTATAATGTTATGAAACCACTTAAAACCCCGGGCAACGCCGGGTACAAAAATCTAGTGTTTAATAAAAAATAACAATTTTTTTTAAAAAATAATAATTCAATATTTTAAATAAATAAAAACATTTTGAATGCTTAATTTTCCTAATAAGAAGCTTATTTTTCAGGAAATATGTAGTTAGGTTATGCCAAGAAGACATGTACATGCAGACGAATGGATAGGTTGAACATTTTTATAATAGATTTGTTACAAAGAAACATAGGTCAGAGCTAAGGAACAATGTTCAACAATATATATAAGGAAGGGGTATGGGTTAGTGGTTGCAGAGGAATTGACAGATTTAATCCATGTTAAATAGAGGTGTGAAGATCATCGTAAATATGTACATATGTATGTAGAAATTGTAAAAGCACACAAGCTTTATGATACAGGAATTTTGATACATTTTTAATTTGATACATTTTTATTTCTGCAATTAATCCATGGACATTGTGTTAATAACTATTCCCGTGTCAAATTTCGCTTTTTAAAATGTATTTAAACCAATGTTGCCCAAAATCGCGATTCCCTATCACGCGAGATAGGGCAAGAAATTTCTGCTGACGTTGCGTTGTCTCACCTACACTATAAGCTTACCCTCCAAACATTTAGAAGACAAAACTATTGCGCATCACCCCAGACGCCACGTCAGAAACACTTCTGGACGATTGTCATACGGGAACGCACATTTTACAAAAACAAAATACATTGATTTCGAATTTTCGTCTTCTAGAAATATACTTTTAAGTTACTTCCGGATGATAGTTAGAAGAGTGCATCCATTTTGCTTAAACAGAAAACCATGACTGCTGATTTTTTTCATCTGGAAGTATACGTTTTAGTGACTTCTGAATGAGAGTTGGATGAGAACACACATTTTACAATAACAAAATACATCGTTTTCTAATTTGTATCTTTTTGATTTGTATGTTTATGTCACTTCTGGAAGACATTGGAAGACAGTTTGAATAGTGTTCCATTAATGTTGTATTTTATTCATCTGGAAATGTGGATTGTAGTCACTTCTGGACGATTGTCAGACGAGAGCACACATTTTACAAAAACAAAATACATTTATTTCTAGTTTTCCCCTTCTGGAAGTATACTTTTAGGTTACTTCCGGATGATAGTAAGAAAAGTACGAAAACAAAAAAATATAAATAGGTACTCCATTTTTTAGCATGAACGTGAAAAAAATTAAAAA